ATATAATTATTTTCAAACGAGTCAAAGTGTTTTTGAGTGTTTATTAAATGCAAAATGTGATATTTCTTCCTGGGTATAGTTCACCAATTATAGCTTTCAGATTTTATTTATTTATTTATTTATTTATTTATTTATTTATTTATTTATTTAATCAACTTGGTAATTTCAAATATATAGTCAATTGAATAGTATTATTGTTCTGTTGACCTGTGAGCATGTACTAGTTGTTGCAGTTACACCAAACTATTTTCATCTGAAATATAAAAATGCAACATTCAGTAAATTGCTGTCAATTTGAGGTGATTTGTCTTTTATTTCTCTGGACTTTAATTCACTTTGTTACATGGGACTTTTTTTTCTTTTAACGATTACCCTTTTAACTCTAATTCTTGTTTATTCACCTTTATGTTTGCACACAAGCCCTCAGGAGTTCAAGAAACAATTATTACTTTTGTTATAAACACTGTTATTACTAACATTACTATTAGTACTTTTGTGCTGTCATTTTAAATCTTTTGTATGTGTCTAATGTGTGCATCAGCACTATATAAAAAATATGCCGTTTTCTACATGTGCATGCTCTATAGTTCCTCTCTTTCCTTCTTTTTTTCCAGTTATTGTATTTTTCCCCTCTCTTTTCTCATTTCCTCTCCATCAGTAGCTAATCAACCTGAGACATGTCAAATCACTGGGTATGTGCTCTTGGTGGGATCAGGTTAATCTCTGAAATGAGGATAATATAAGCCAAACATGATAGGGTAGGATCCACATAAAAATAATTTAATTCCCGTATTTCTATATCAGTGGAGATGTCACATTCACTGACGGGGATGGAGCACTGATTTCATTTTTTTCTGTCTTTTTTTTTTGTCTCTCTCTTTCAGAATAATTAATTTGCACTCATCAAAATGAATTTAAAACCAAGGATTTTTTTGTTAAAATGATATATATTTATATTTATTTACTTTACATACTTTAAATATACTACTACATGTCAGCTGTCTGTCTTTTTTTTTTTTCTCAGCTGATTTCCCTTCAGAATATTGACTCCTGTCAATATTCTGAATATATTCTGAACAATATTCACTTGTTTTGTCTTTAGCATTTGGACAGAATGAATGCCATGACCCAGGAGTTCCCGTCAATGGTCAGAGGTATGGTGACCAGTTTCAGCTTGGAAGCTCGGTGGCGTTTCGCTGTGATCAAGGATTCATCAGGACACAGGTGAAAAATAAATGTCTTACTATATCAAATGTATTTTTTTTTGTCATTTTTATTCTTGCAAAACCCAAATTATTATTGTAATATATTGTTCTGTTTCTTCAGGGGTCAGATCAAATCACTTGCATCATTCAGGATGGAAACGTAGTTTGGTCTGCAGCTGTACCTCGATGTGAAGGTGAATAGAACTGATGCATATTTAGGCTCTATATTATGCACATACATATTTAAAGATCATTCAAAATGTTCTACTTGCAAGTGATAAGATGAATGTTGGTTTTTACTGTCCAACAGATGTGTTGTATTAGCAAATAATAATAATAAAAAAGCTTGTTTCTTTTTTTATGTTTGTTTTCCAGATTTTATAAACCTATTCTGAATGTGTGCACACATCTTTTGCTTTAACGCTGCAAAAAATATTAAATGATAATTGTATTGAAACAATATATTAATAAAAGTAAATTTAAATGCACTTTTATTGGAACAGTGTTTGAAAGCAACAGGCATCCACTGGCTTGTGTGGCATTTTCATACTCTTCCCCTGCTTGCTTCTTGATTGTATCACTTAAATGACATTATCAAATGTTGCTTGCCGTTAATAAATTGCATGGTGGAGACATTCAAATTGAAGAAGTTCGTCACCTTATTAAGTATGAAGTATGGGGGGAAGAAAACGATCCTTCATACTGGATAGGGAAAGATAATTAGGTTTTATTTATAGAATGATTTTATTGTGGCTCTTGTCCCAAAGTACTGCTACTTTGAAATTCAGTGTAGAGAAGTGGCATGCCTGCTAAAAATCAGGATTTACAAGAGCCATCACAACTGGCAAGAATGCACGACTTGAGATGAGATGAAGTGATCAAATTTGTGCACAGTAATCCAGCAAAGAAAAATGCACAAATCATAAAAGTGAGATCTCTTTTCCCCTGATATCTACGTATAGCATTGGTGTATGTGACTGAAAGACAGACAAAAGAAAAGAAGAGAAGCCAAACTCTAAACTCAACCAAACCTGTTTCTCTCTTTTTTTAATGAGTCGTAAATGAGGTGCTCTGATTTATAAATTAGCGTCAGCGAATGTAAATTTTACTGCTCGAGGTTTTATGAGTTTGCCCAGATCTTGGGTTATGTTTTTTGGCATCATTTGACACATAAATATACTTGATTTCCCCTATAAATTAACATAATATAATTGCGTAAGGCTTTTTCAAACAGACAAAGCTGAGATTTGTTTACTGTAGCACTAGATTGGCTCAGTATAATTTCTGTTGGTAATTTTTTTTTTTTTTTTTGTGAGTTGAAGAAATTCGGAGCGGATTAGAGTGCTAAAATAAATTGAGCAGACGATGAAGCTGCAAAGTTAATGGAATGCAAGCCTCGTGCTCATGCCGTGTTGCAGTGACGAGACAAAAATGATTAATTTTATTATCGTTGTGGTTGTTTATATGCGTTGTCTTCGTCTTCCTGCAGCTCCCTGTGGAGGCCATCTCACAGCCTCTTCTGGTGTTGTTCTATCCCCTGGTTGGCCTTCGTTTTATAAGGATTCACTGAGCTGCCAGTGGGTGATTGAGGCACAAACAGATCATGCTGTAAAAATACACTTTGACAAGTAAGTAACTTGTAGAAATTATTTTTTGTCGCAGTTGTACAGTATGCATAAATGTTGAATGTTAATCATATAAATCCAAAGGCATATGGTATTTATCTGATATGCTTAAGAAGTACATAACTGAGTTATGCAGTCTTTAAGGTAGGTAGTCTTCAGACGTAATGTAAGAGATATAAATGAAGTTGGTGAGTTACTGCAGTGTATGATTAATGTTTGCTTTTCGCATATCTTCTTTTTTTTTCTTTTTTTTTTTTTTTGTGTGTGTG